CTTCTAGGTCTCCAGCAGACGTGAAGAGGAACGTTGTCGCTTCGCTCAGGGTGGCACCAGTAGGCGATGGACATCACGGAAGGGACTTCTACAAATTGTCAGTGACAGATTTTGTTTGAGCCCTATTAGAGAGCTAAAGTCTAGACTTTTAGCTTCCTCACTACTTATCCCGAACACCGCCGATTCTACAAAGGAGCTGAGAATATTAGCGGTGACGAAATTATGAGAAGCGAGAGGTTTGATTGCATAAAATAAGAGAGGATTTGGTTGGCGTTAAGGGTTAATTTTACAGATTCGATAAGCTTGGAGATGCCATCCTTCTGTTTGTTCATGTTTTGAGCAACATTTATGATAATGTAAGTGCTTATCATATTACTTCTCTAAGAAAGCTTTTCTCTTAAGGAACCCGTGTTCCGCGCTTTCAGCCGCAGAGTTATGCTCGAACATTTTGAGAGGAACGTTGATCCTGCCCTGTGGAACGTAAGTCTAATCTTCAAGCCCTTATTCTGCAAAATCATTTTTGATTGTTTTTTAACCAAATTTATTACAGATTTTCTTCTCCAATTTCTGGCAGGGATATCTACAGAGCAAAGGAGCCAATTTGACTGCTGATCAGAAGGAAGCCTGGAACACTTTGGGTACAATGTTCAGCCAAGAAAGTCAGGCATACCTGACTAAAATGGGCCGTCCTCATGCTTAGATTTCGATTTTTTCTTCGTTGAACTATTATTACCCTTGTTACGAATGGAAGGTTCTGTAGAAGTTTTCTGTAGAAGTTTTATAGTAAAAATAACATACAGTTTTATGTAACTACCTTCAACGATTCTATAATTGGCATGGCTACCTCAAACAGGATCTACTATCGAGTTGCATGTAAACCAGGGCTCCACTTTGGAGTTTTTACTCCAAACTGACCACAGATGACAATAGTCTCTGCAATGCATCGTTAGATACTTAATCAACCTCTCCATATCAGCTTTTCATGGGCCTGCAGCTGGACAATTACAAGAAACCACTTCTCCGAACATTAACGGACATTTTAATTCGTTTATAGTTTTCAAGCGCTTCATTCCGCAATGGCTTTATGCGCTTGGAATCCCTACACATATGTGTTTCGACTGAAAGTTTAAGTCCTGCTTATATTTATTTAAATAACAAAATCATTTGACAGTGTA